TATTGTATCCGGGTGGCTTAGAGATTTTAGAGAGCAGCGCCCGTACACAGCGCCATCAGCAGAGGGGAGAGTGGAGGGATTTTATCGTCATTGATTTTACAGAGAAAATATCCAATTTTCATTTGAAATTTTTGTTAAAGTCGGCCTCAAATTTTGCCCCGGAGGCGACAAGAAGAGCCATGGGAACCATTTTTGGGTTGTTGATAAACTATGCCAACCCTGGCCGGAACACAGACCCATTGCTTATAAACAAAGCCATGTGATAGTCATGTGATAGTTACATAGTATTTGAGGTTGAATAAAGACATAAGTCCATCAAGTCCAACCTGTTGTGTGTGTGTGTGTGTGTGTGTGTGTGTGTGTGTGTGTGTGTATAGGTCCATGAGTGTTCTCATTCTTAAGAGTACCTGTACCCTTGTACATTTCGGTCTCTCAGGAAGTCGTCCAAAAGCTTCTTGAACGATTCCACACTATTAGCTGAAATTACTGCCTGTTTCAGAGAGTTCCAGACCCTAACCGCGCGAACTGAGAAGAACCCCCTCCGCCCCTTGTGTTTAAATTTTTTTTTCTACCAGTTTTAGGTGGTGTCCTCTAGTCTTCGTTACGGAATTAATCTCAAAGAGTTTGTTGCTAATGTTGCTATGACTATGGAACATTTTGTACATGAAAATCATGTCCCCCCTTAATCTCCTTACTTCTAACGTAAACATGTTTAAATTTAGTAACTGTGTCTCATAGTTCTGGTCCTCCATCCTCTTTATTAGTTTGGTCGCCCTCTGCTAGACTTTCTCCAGTTCAAGGACATCCTTCCTGTGGACCGGTGCCCAAAACTGCACCGCATACTCCAGGTGGGGCCGAACCATTGATGTGTAAAGTGGCACAAATATAGACTTGTCCCTGGAAAACATTCCCTTCTTGATGCAGGACAAGATTCTACAGCAACCTGGCACTGTAATCTATTATTGAGTTTGTGGTCTACAATGACCCCCAAATCTTTCTCCATTTCCGACTTCCCTAGCGGGCATACCCATAATTGTATAACCCATTTGCCTATTATTCCTCCCAAAGTGCATAACTTTGCATTTATCAACATTAAACCTCATCTGCCATAAAGTTGCCCACCCCCCTATTCTATCCAGGTCCTCCTGCAATGTTACACTATCTTGGTCCGTTTCTATTACCCTCCCAATTTTGGTATCGTCAGCAAACACTGAGATATCGCTGTGTACTCCGTCCCCGATGTCGTTAATAAACAGGTTGAATAGCATGGGTCCCAGCACAGAACCCTGAGGCACACCGCTAATGACACTAGCCGAGTCTGAAAGGGCGCCATTTATTGATACTCTCTGTACCCGTTCCTTTAGTACCGTATCAAACGCCTTGTGATGGCAGTACTGAGATAACAATCACTTGGCTTTGTTTACAAACAAAGAGTACGTTTTGCTTCCAAGTCACCTTGTCCCAATGTTGAGGGATACGGGCCCCTTCTCCATCTCCAGTGCCCCAATCCCCCCAGATATCCGCCCTCTCTCAGAGGAATGAGATTAAAGGTATATTAGCACCTCTTCCCCATTGCCACAAACATTTAAATGTAAAAAAACAAACACAACCACCTTGGTTAAATGGTTAAAAATGTTCCCCAGCGTCATTCACAATGTCCAGCGACGTGAATCCGTCATCGGTCAGGACGCCCTGACGCCCACCAATGTTTACACGTTACCTTAAGTGATAGACCCCCAACACTGTGGTTATGTAAACATGGTGGGAATCCCGTGTGACATCATGGACCAAATATGGTCAACAACATCACCTGGGATTTCCCTTGCTGTAATGTAAACAGACAGGCGGGGATCCCAGGTGATGTCGTTGACCATATTTGGTCAATGATGTCACACGGGATCCCTCCATGTTTACATAACCACAGCGTCAGGAAGCTGTCATTTAGGAAGTGCAAAATGTACACGTTGGGGGTAACATGTACACTTTGCGTAACAATAGCCACAGCAGCCCATGCGGCTGCTATGGGGCCTGGGGGTGGAAGGGGGCCCCATGAAGGATTGCTGAAGTTGCTGTTGACCCTGTACCCTTTATGGCATTTCCAATCAAGAAGAGTTGATATCCGATGCAGAAAGCTCTCCTGCTACCTGTCCTTGATTTAGATTTTAAGGGTTTGCCATGGGGCCCAATTAAAATTTTGCTATGGGGCCCCCGCGATCTGTAGTTACGCCCCTGGCACTGGGGGTATTGTGATTTGGGGCGGGTCCATCAACCTGCGAATCCACGTCCAACCCGAACCCAAATCTCATCCCTAGTGGCAACATTGTAACCAGAGCAGGAAGTGAGGGGACAATCTCCAACACACAGACGGGTTTCCAGCCCTTCCTGCCCCCGGTGGAGATTCGCCATCACTTCCTGTCCCCGGTGGAGATTCGCCATCACTTCCTGTCCCCGGTGGAGATTCGCCATCACGTCCTGTCCCCGGTGGAGATTCGCCCTCACTTCCAGTCCTTAACGCTCCTATACTGCAATATTTCGTCGTTTTCTGCGCCAAAAACTTCAACGGTTCCTTCGCGAACTTTTTGCATCTTTTACGGTTTTTGTGAAATTTACTTTCACGGTCCCTCCGCCACCTAAAAAGTAACTTTTCCACTTCCCAATGAAAAATCTCCGCCGCTCGCCTTTGATTCACATTTGTTTCTCGTGATTTAAACCTGATGTGAAGGAACTGAAGGATTTAACACTTTTTCTGGGTGCGGCGCAGAGTTTTATTGATCCGCACAGCCAGTGTTTCATGCTGGGCCGGAGGAGGGGGGAGGGCTTTGAAATCGGCAGGGGGGCGCCGTTCTGGGGATTTAATTACCTGTGTGACAGATGCCGAGGTGTGATTGTACACAGGCTGTTAAAGTTTAGACTTGATTGCTGAAGGGACCCTCCTAATTGATGATTTCCAGGACTTGGGTCCCCACCCCCCTCCACCTGATTTCCCACAATCCCTCTGGTGTCACAGTCTCCGCTCCAGCCAAGGAGGTGGAAATCTGACCATTTGTTTGGCTTAAAAGAGAAGTTTGTGTCTCCCAAGATGTAGCTGTCCAGCTGATTAAAGGAGACAATTGCCAGAATCTGCATGCTGATACAGACCAGACGGAGGTGCAGAGGATTCTGGGTACAGGGCTGGCTACATATTGCGCACATCGGGGGCCTGCGAACGCAGCGTGGCCTGGCGGTCTATCAAGATTTTTTTATTTTTTTTTACAGTATCCTATAGCAACCAATCAGCAACGAGCTTCCTCTGATATAATGTAACATTGTGTTGCAGGAAGAGATGAGGAAATCTGTCAGAACGCTCCCACGTGCTCGTTATGTTAGATTGGCCGCAGTGTACTATGACCTGATTGGATCACGGCAAAGACCCTCCCACTCCCAGCCTGATTAGCGCTGTGATAGGGAGATAATATGAATACAGAAATCCATCAGTTATACTACCAGTATTATATAGGGAGACATCTATCTATTGATTATCTATCGATCAATCGATTGACCTTCTCTCTCTCTCTCTCTCTCTCTCTCTTCTCTCCCTCTCTTTCTCCTATCTCTCTCTCTCTCTCTCTTATCGATCTCTCTCTCTTCTATCTATTGATCTTCCCTCTCTCTCTCCCCCTATCTATTGATCTTCTCTCTCTCTCTCTCTCTCTCTCTTCTCTCCCTCTCTTTCTCCTATCTCTCTCTCTCTCTCTCTCTTATCGATCTCTCTCTCTTCTCTATTGATCTTCCCTCTCTATCTCCTAGCTATTGATCGCTCTCTTCTCTCTCTCTTCTATCGATCTCTCCCTCTTCTCTCTCTCCCCCTATCTATTGATCTTCCCTCTCTCTCTCTCCCTCACTCTCCTATCTCACTCCCCCTATCTATTGATCTTCCCTCTCTCTCTCTCTCTCTCTCTCTCTCCTATCTCTCTCTCTCTTCTATCTATTGATCTTCCCTCCCCCTCTCTTGTTAGTGAGCGGAGGACTTCCAGGGACGCTGTTTGAAGATGGAGCAGACACATGATGAAAGAAGTCTCTAATCAGCTCTAAAAAGCCCTTAAAGGATTCCTAATAAATAACTCAGAGTGACCAGCAGGGAGAGCCGCCTTTGTGTTCAACTTTCCTGCAATTAGATTTCATGTTCGCCGCGCATTCCGCGGGGAAAAATCCAGAGAAATGCAAAACGCGCAACAGCAGCGGCGATGGCGAACGGCGGCTCTTCTCCCTCTGCATGGCTGCTGAATATCTCGGATTTCCAGGGACGGACCCGGACGTTTGTCTATGGAAAAGTTCCTGATTTGGGGGGGAGGGGGTTTCATTTTTGTTACAAAATCTGTTCACAAAGTGTCAATAATCCTTCCTATCGACTTCCTGTAATCCTTCCTATCGACTTCCTGTAATCCTTCCTATCGACTTCCTGTAATCCTTCCTATCGACTTCCTATAATCCTTCCTATCGACTTCCTGTAATCAATCGACTTCCTATAATCCTTCCTATCGACTTCCTATAATCCTT